AGAAAGTGGTCAGTTTATTGTATATGTGCGCTGTACACAAGAAAGTGGTCAGTTTATTGTATATGTGTGCTGTACACAAGTGGTCAGTTTATTGTATATGTGTGCTGTACACAAGTGGTCAGTTTATTGTATATGTGCGCTGTACACAAGAAAGTGGTCAGTTTATTGTATATAATCCTTTTGCCTTAAGGGAATGTTTTAAAACACACGCTTTTGTCATTTTATGGGACATGGAACAGGCATGTTTTCTTATTACATATATGAGATCTGCATCCTGGCTGTGTATTGCTGATCTTCATACTAGACTTTGTCTAATTATTGTAATCTGCAGCCATGAAAGATGAATAAAGTATACCCCTCTATACTTTGTATTTGTTTTGATCCAGGACACTAAATGTCATTTCTGTTTGCTGCCTCTTTCCATTCCTATCAGTATGAGTCACTTCTGACAAGATTTCCCTGACACCAAGAAAAAAAAGGTGACAGGAGGGGGAGCTCCGGCACACAGCCTGTGATTGACATCCTCGCTCTGTTCCTGTGTGCTCTGTGATGGGGGGGGGGGGGGGTCCCTTTCCTCCAATCAGCTCTCACTGAGCTCTGCAAAGTGTAACTTCAGCTCTCCACCCCCTATTTTCTGAAAGCTCAGACAAGCTGTATAAATTGTACTTTGGGTGTAGATCAGAAATTAATAGAGATAAACAGGTACAACTTATGTAGAAGGATTTGTTTCATCACTGTGTATCACCTGATTCCAGACACTTCACTGGGTATATGTAAGGGTTTACAACACCTTTAAGCACAATAGGCTCCTGGCAGCCAGAGATCTTATGACCTTTGCCTAGGTTTCAGGTCACATCAGGAAGCTTAAAGGCAGTGATTATTATTATTATTATTATTATTATTATTATTATTATTAAAAACAGGAAAAAGGTCCCTTTAATCATCTCATATGATCCATTGACATGTGTTCTTGCAATTAAAATCAAATGAGAATCCTAATGATAGATGCACAGTGATACGGAGCACCTTGCTTTATCTGATTAATCCAGGTTTTTGGGTTGCTAGGCAACTGTTTCAGTTTGGAAGGTTGTTTTGCGGTGTGCCTCCATGTACTATGAATCCTTGTCTCTCCCCTGTGTCATGATCACACCTTGGTGGTCTTGGTACTCATCCTTTATTATGCAGTGCAGCATTGGCTTCATTTTTTAACTCCCTTTTGTATTTTTTTTGTTGTATGTGCTTTTTTATTTTTATTTTCAACATCCTCTGAAGACATAAGCCATGAGCTCAGTAAACTAGTTTGGTTCATTTATTATTTTTTTCTCTGATGCTAATTTGGAACTGCAGTGCAACCATTTTATTATTATTGTTACTAGTAGTAGTGGTATTATTAGTAGTAGTAGTATTAGTGGTGGTATCACTACAGTATTATTATTGTATTATTATTAGTATTAGTGGTATTACTCCAGTATTATTATTGTATTATTATTATTAGTAGTAGTATTAGTATTAGTGGTATTACTACAGTATTATTATTGTATTATTATTATTATTAGTATTAGTGGTATTACTACAGTATTATTATTGTATTATTATTATTATTAGTATTAGTATTAGTGGTATTACTACAGTATTATTATTATTATTATTAGTAGTAGTAGTAGTAGTAGTAGTAGTAGTAGTATTAGTGGTGGTATCACTACAGTATTATTTCTGTATTAATATTATTAGTATTATTGGTATTACTACAGTATTATTATTGTATTATTATTATTAGTAGTAGTATTAGTGGCATCACTACAGTATTATTATTGTATTATTATTATTAGTAGTAGTATTAGTGGCATCACTACAGTATTATTATTGTATTATTATTATTATTATTAGTAGTAGTAGTAGTAGTATCACTACAGTATTATTATTGTATTATTATTATTATTATTATTAGTAGTAGTAGTAGTAGTAGTATTAGTGGTGGTATCACTACAGTATTATTATTGTAGTATTATTATTATTATTAGTAGTAGTATTAGTGGCATCACTACAGTATTATTATTGTATTATTATTATTATTATTAGTAGTAGTATTAGCATCATTAGTAGTATTAGTATTAGTGGTATTACTACAGTATTATTTATTTATTATTATTATTAGTAGTAGTAGTAGTAGTAGTAGTAGTGGTGGTATCACTACAGTATTATTATTGTATTATTATTATTATTATTATTAGTATTATTATTATTGGTATTACTACAGTATTATTATTGTATTATTATTATTATTATTTAGTAGTAGTAGTAGTAGTGGTATTACTACAATATTATTATTATATTATTGTATTATTATTCTTATTCTTATTGGTATTACTACAGTATTATTATTGTATTATTATTATTATTATTATTATTATTAGTAGTAGTAGTAGTAGTAGTAGTATTAGTGGTGGATTCACTACAGAATTATTATTGTATTAATATTATTAGTATTAGTGGTATTACTACAGTATTATTATTTTATTATTATTATTAGTAGTAGTAGTAGTAGTAGTGTTAGTATCATTAGTAGTATTAGTATTAGTGGTATTACTACAGTTTTTATTATTGTATTAGTATTAGTAGTAGTAGTAGTAGTGGTATCACTACAGTATTATTATTATTATTATTATTATTATTATTATTATTACAGTATTATTATTGTAATATTATTAGTATTATTATTATATTATTGTATTATTATTATTATTATTGGTATTACTATACAGTATTATTATTGTATTATTATTATTAGTAGTAGTAGTAGTAGTAGTAGTATTGGTATTAGTGGTATTACTACAGTAGTATTATTTATTGTATTTATTAATATTATTATTATTATTGGTATTACTACAGTGTTATTATTGTATTATTATTATTAGTAGTAGTAGTAGTATACTACAGTATTATTAATGTATTATTATTGTATTATTATTATCAGTACTGTATTATTATCATTATAAGTATTATTTATTATTAATAATATTATTAATAATAATGCTTTTATTATTATTACTATTATTATATTACTGCTCTAATATTGTTGTTACTATTATTATTTTAGCAGTTATAGCACTGACAGCTCACACAGACCTGTACATACTGTAGATCAGTCCCCCAAGGAGCTTACCATCTACAGTCCTTATCACATACACCTACTAGGGTCCATTTTAAAGCAGGTAAAAGGTAGTAAACAGCTGAAAAAATATTCTAAAACTTCTCCCTGCAAGCTATGAGCATAATATGACAGTGTGTATCACAGAGTAGCACATTATGAATGACCTGAAAACAAAGTCCTCCAGCAGATCGCTGTCATCGTCCCCGAGACTTCCATCTTCACTCAATTTTCATTCCGGGTTCACGAGTTGCGGCCATCTGATTGGCGGGGCATGTGCCAAGGGAGTTTCGGCTGTGGCACGGCTCTCTGAATGGACGGCACGTCATCTTGAGAGCGCAGTGCGCATGCGCACGTTTAGGAGATATTTACAGTACCTACTTATTAAAGGCTTACCTGTAGGTAAAATATGCAAAAAGAGTTTACTTCCACTTTAAGTGACCTTAAAATCATATTAAACCCAAAAGCAAACATTTATTATATTGCAGCTTACCAATTCATAGATATGGTGGCTGCATTAGTTTTCTTTTTTAGGCTGCCTTCTATTTTCCTCTGGTGATGTGGCCAGTAAGTCTGTTGTTTTTAAAAGAATAAGCTCTCTTGCTGATGTAGCAGTTACAGGGATGAGACAAACCATTTACTACTGACAGGGGTGCTTGCAGTGAGCAACTTTTATTTATTTATATAAAACCTGTATCCCAAAAGAGAAAAAACTACTTTAACTGCTTATCAAGTGTGAGCTGGAGTTCATTTTCAATTTGTTAGTGTATTTCAATCTACTAGTACATCTAACACTCCCCTCCCCTGAGACTGACAATGCTGCTGTCCTAAAGGTTCCTTCCCTTGCTCCTTCATCCAGAGTAGGGGCACAGGAGGTGGTTACTGGCTAGATCACCAGGTAAAAACAGAGGAGAAAAAGCCCCCCAAAAAAAGAAAACTAATGCAGCCACCACATATAATGATCGGTAAGCTGCAATATATTACATTTTTGGGTTTATTACCATTGTAACCACTTCAATACAGAGCACTTATACCCCCTTCCTGCCCAGGCCAATTTTCAGCTTTCAGCGCTGTCACATTTTGAATGACAATTGCGCGGTCATGCAACACTGTACCCATATGAAAGTTTATCATTTTTTTCACACAAATAGAGCTTTTCTTTTGGTGGTATGTACTCACCGCTGGGTGTTTTATTTTTTGCCCTATAAACAAAAAAAAGAGCAAAAAATTTGAAAAAAAAGTTTTTCTTTGTTTTTATTATAACATTTTGCAAACAGGTAATTTTTCTCCTTCACTGATGTCTGTTGATGAGGCTGCACTGATAGGCAGCACTGATGGACACTGATAGGAACATTGATGGATGGCACTGATGAGCTGGCACTCATAGGCGGCACTGCTGGGCACAGGTGGGTGGCACTGATGGGCACAGGTGGGTGGCACATGTGGGTGGCACTGGTGGGCACAGGTGGGTGGCTCATGTGGGTGGCACAGGTGGGTGGCACTGATGGGTACAGGTGGATGGCACTGATGGGTATAAGTGGGTGACACTGCTGGGCACAGGTGGGTGGCACTGATGGGCACAGGTGGGTGGCACATGTGGGTGGCACTGGTGGGCACAGGTGGGTGGCACATGTGGGTGGCACAGGTGGGTGGCACATGTGGGTACAGGTGGATGGCACTGATGGGTATAAGTGGGTGACACTGCTGGGCACAGGTGGACTGCACAGGTGGGTGGCACTGATAGGTACAAGTGGGCGGCACTGCTGGGCACAGGTGGGTAGCACTGATAGGTACAAGTGGGTGGCACTGGTGGGCACAGGTGGGTGGCACTGATGGGTACAGGTGGATGGCACTGATGGGTATACAAGTGGGTGACACTGATGGGCACAGGTGGGTGGCACTGGTGGGCACAGGTGGGTGGCACTGATGGGTACAAGTGGGTGGCACTGCTGTACAAGTGGGTGGGCACAGGTGGGTTGCACAGGTGGGTGGCACTGATAGGTACAAGTGGGTGGCACTGCTGGGCACAGGTGGGTTGCACAGGTGGGTGGCACTGATAGGTACAAGTGGGTGGCACTGCTGGGCACAGGTGGGTTGCACAGGTGGGTGGCACTGATAGGTACAAGTGGGTGGCACTGCTGGGCACAGGTGGGTTGCACAGGTGGGTGGCACTGCTGGCACTGATCATCGGTGCCGATCTCTTCTCTGACAATTGCCGGTTCTCGGCAGTACTGTCCTCATGCTGCGATAACCGGCAACTGCACATTTACTGGTGATCCGCTGTGTCATTGGACACAGCTAATCACATGGTAAAAGGCCGCCGTGATTGGCCGTTTACCGTATCCCGTAATCAGCTGTTTCAGTTGGACTGTGTCACCGGCGCCACTGGGGGCACGCAGGGGGCATGTTCTGGAATGACGTCCATGGCCCAGACAACCGCGATGTAGCTGTCCATCGGCTTTAGTGCGGTAGGGAACTGGTTAAAGTATGATTAAAAAAAAAAGTATGTATTCTTAATGCCCCCCCCCTCCCCCCCCCCCTTCTCTCATTCTCCTCCAAAAAATCTCCCTGCTGTGGTTCCTACATTCAGACTTTGGGGCCCCCATGATCCCACTGCATGTAGGACAGATAACTGACACCCTCTCTTGTTTCCTCCTGATATGCAACTACAGGACTTCCTGATGTGTGCATATAGCAGTGCCCATGGCCACAACTACCATGCATTGCTTGTCCCAAACAAAAGTGAGAGGGAAAAGAAGAGGTTCGGGAGCTCACAGAGGATGTTACAAGGTAGCAGAAAAACACAGCAAAAAAAGTCATGAAAAATGGATTACAGGGCTATTAAGTAGAGAATGTGTATGGATTATTTTTAGTGAATAAGGATATTGTTTAATTTTCCTTTCTTTGGAATGTGGGAAACACACTTAAGCAAACTCCATGCAGATAGTGTCCCAGTTGGAATTTGAGTTCCCCAGTGCTCCAAGGCAGAATAAAAGTGCTAATTGCTACGCCACTGCCCACAAAGTAAGGCAAGCAAGGCAAACAACTAAATACAGAGCTGAAATAAAATACCTGCAAGCTGGTAGAGAAATTGTAATTCTGCTCAGCCAGCCTTGTGATCACCCTTGCCTGACAGCACAGCCAGTCTGGTGACCCTTACCGCAATTACAGCCTGGCCACCTACACACCCAGCTCACTGATTGGCCAGTGAAGGAGCAGCACTTTGCAGGTGAGGTCCTCTCCCTGCTCTCCCCTCCTGCAAAGCACAGTGTAAGGCACCTTTCACACAGGCATTCCATATGTCCGTTTTCATCGGTCCGTTTACGAATGAAAAAACGAACACCCATGTATTTCTGTGGACTAGCAGATGTAAATGGATGATCGTCTGCTTACATCCTTAATGTTCACATCCAGGGGCGGACTGACCATTTGGAAACTCGGGCTCTGCCCGAGGGCCCGGGGGTCAGTAGGGGGCCCCATGAGATGCCCCTGGTACCTTTTTCATAGGCTTTTCTGAGTTTGGGCAAGGACACAGGGGCCCCATGATCCCCTATTGCCCGGGGGCCCCATGAGTTGTCAGTCCGTCCCTGTACACATCTGTTAACATCTGTTTTTTTTAACAGAAGTAAACCCTATTTTTTTCCGTTAAATAAAACGAACGGACGAAAAAAAATGGATGTAAGCAGACAATAAACAGATGTAAACCGATAAAAAATGAATGTAGACAGACAAAAACAGATGTAAACGGACAACACATGGATGTAAACGGATGAAAACTGATGTATACAGACAAAACATGGATGTAAATGGACAAAAACGGATGTAAACGGACACCACATGGATGTAAATGGACGAAAATGGATGTAAACGGACAACACATGGATGGAAAAACTCATGTATACGGACAAAACATGGATGTAAATGGACAGAAATTGATGTAAACGGACAACACATGGATGTAAACGGATGGAAACTGATGTATGTGGACAAAACATGGATGTAAACGGACGAAAACAGATGTAAACAGATGAAAATAGATGTAAACCGACGAAAAAAGGATGAAAAATGGATGTAAACTGATGAAAAAACTGACAGGATCCATTTTTTCTTGGAAAAAATGTGACTGAACTGATGAAAAAAAAAGCCCGTGTGAAAGGGGCCTTACACTCCGGTCACATCAAACCCTACTTTGAAATCGTGCGACTTTCAGTGAAGTCGCACGATTTCAAAGCCAGATGACATCATGCCTATTTCAGGTGCGATTTGCAAGACATCTGATACAGGGGTCTATTCAAATTGCACCAAAAGTACTGCATGTACTACTTTAGAAATTGGTGCGGCTCCGACCAAGTCGCACCGATATGACTGCTCTAATTGTGGACAATGTGATTTTCATGCAATTTGCAAGTCGCATGGCATGCAAATCGCATGCCAATTTGCATCCAGTGTGACCGGGGTCTTAAAGTAATATTAAACCCAGGACCCTGCACCCTATATCTGGTCTCCCCGGACCCTGCTTTCACTATATCTGGTCTACCCGGACCCTGCATTCACTATATCTGGTCTCCCCGGACCCTGCATTCACTATATCTGGTCTCCCCGGACCTGCACCCTATATCTGGTCTCCCCGGACCCTGCATTCACTATATCTGGCCTCCCTGGACCTGCATTCACTATATCTGGTCTCCCCGGACCCTGCATTCACTATATCTGGTCTCCCCGGACCCTGCATTCACTATATCCGGTCTCCCCGGACCCTGCATTCACTATATCCGGTCACCCCAGACCCTGCATTCACTATATCTGGTCTCCCCGGACCCTGCATTCACTATATCCGGTCTCCCAGGACCCTGCATTCACTATATCCGGTCACCCCGGACCCTGCATTCACTATATCGGTCTCCCCGGACCCTGCATTCACTATATCCGGTCTCCCCGAACCCTGCATTCACTATATCCGGTCTCCCAGGACCCTGCATTCACTATATCGGTCTCCCCGGACCTGCATTCACTATATCCGGTCTCCCCGGACCCTGCATTCACTATATCCGGTCTCCCAGGACCCTGCATTCACTATATCTGGTCTCCCAGGACCCTGCATTCACTGTATCTGGTCTCCCTGGACCCTGCATTCACTATATCTGGTCTGCCCGGACCCTGCATTCACTATATCTGATCTTCCACAGTACACACAACATGGAAATGCAATTATTGTAGTACATATAAACTGCTAAATACCTTTTCTCATCAGCAGTTAGAGCAGTCGTGTGGCTTAAATCAGTGTCCAGCAGAGCACTGGTTAAAGCTTGTAGAAGGAGTATTCTTTCTGCTCTAGGAGGATGCAGAACCCCTGAGCTCTGTCTGGACAGTACTGATTGGCCCTGTGCTGATCACATGCACTCTCCCAAGAAAAAAAAAACCTCTCTAGTAATACACACCAAACTGAGCATGTGCATGTGACTACAGATTCAGTCTGTATCAGGTGGTCATATCAACACGAGGAGGGCCAGAGAAGACAGGATCAAACAGCCTTTTTACACAATGCAGAGGATTAACCCCTCAGGTTCCACAGTGAGTATAACAAGCATGCTTTCCTGCATATACAGACTGATTGTACTGTTGTGGGTTTAGTAACACGTTAAGCAGCAGATCACGGATGATTCCAGCAGCTGGTTGTATGTACGGTATAAACATGTAATGTTCTATAATGGATACATACAATCACCAGAGAACATTTTCCTATGTGCCGAGAATCCAGCTTTTATCTGGTGACATCTGACAGCACATTCATCTGCTTGTGGATTATTTACAACAGATGAGGTTGATATGAAGTAATGCGCCCAGGTTCTCTTCCTGCTATAAAAGCTTCAAAGTGTACAGATTACTGTACAGATTACTGGAGAAAACACCGAATGATATTATTGGCCAAAGATTTATAGGAAATCGGTTGAAAAGCAGCATTGTGAGCTATATAGGAAACGAGGTGCAAGTTCTCCATCCTCTACAGACAGCCTGTGCAGTGTATGTGATATAATGAGCGCATTTCCCCACGCCGGACGCAGAGATATGACCAACAGATGTCATTTGTTATATCAGGAATGTGTGCGCTAATGTTCTCTCTATCATCGCTCAGCCTAATACAGCGATCGCCAACTTGCGCAAAATCAATTGTTCATGAAAACACGTAAGAGGATGCTTTTTGGTTTTTGTTTTTTTCTTTTGTTAATGAACTACCAACAGCAAATCCCTTCAAGTGTTACTAAACCCACTCCAGTAAAATCAGTCTGTATACGCAGTAAAGCATGATTGTTCTACTCACTGTGAAATCTAACAGGTTAATCCTATGCATTGTGCGAAAAGTATGTTTGATTCTGTCTTCTCTGATCCTCCCCTTCTTTTACTGTCCCAAATATAATTCCTGATAGAACAAGGCCTTGGGAACATGCTGCACATGCTCAGTTTGGTGTGTATTGCTAGAGAGTTTTTTTTGGAGGGGGAGGGTGCATGTGATCGGCACAGGGCCAATCAGCACTGTCCAGACAGAGGTCAGGGGTTCTGCATCCTCTTAGAGCAGAAAGAAAACTCCTACAAGCTTTAACCACTGCTCTTCAGGACACTGATGGAAGTCACAAGACTGCTTACTGAAAACTGAGCATGTACAGAGGTGCCAACACTGCTCTGCAAAATCCCAAATTGCAGTTGGGACATGGTCAGAAGAGATAGAGAGCAGCAGGATCAGCCAGGTTTTTGCAGAATACAGAGAACAAATCCCATAGTGACTGAGTGAGTATGACCAGCATGTAATACAGTCTGTATTCACTATAGCTGGTCTCCCCGGACCCTGCATTCACTATATCTGGTCTCCCTGGACCCTGTATTCACTATATCTGGTCTCCCCGGACCCTGCATTCACTATATCTGGTCTCCCTGGACCCTGCATTCACTATATCTGGTCTCCCCGGACCCTGCATTTACTATATCTGGTCACCCCTGACCCAGCATGTAATACACTATTTATTGATAGTTTTTTATGTTGTGAATTTAGTGACACTTTAAATATTGCTCAACAATTATTCAAAAATATATATTAAAAACAAAAGTTAAAGTATTCCTGAACCCAGGACCCTGCAGTCACTATATCTGGTCTCCCAGGACCCAGCATTCACTATATCCGGTCTCCCCGGACCCTGCATTCACTATATCTGGTCTCCCCAGACCCTGCATTCACTATATCTGGTCTCCCCGGACCCTGCATTCACCATATCTGGTCTCCCAGGACCCTGCATTCACTATATCCGATCTCCCCGGACCCTGCATTCACTATATCTGGT